TTAACATGTTACGCAGCTCAGATCTTTTATGGTAAAGTGGAGCATTATTTCTTGGTTGTATTGTGTTCTCTGAGTTGAGTTGTTTAATCGTGGAGCTTTCTTCGTCTTTCTAGACGACATCTTCAGCCGGGAAGCTGGAAACTCAAGTGTACAGGAAGCCAACACACACTGATCAAATCCTCAACTACAGTAGCAACAACCCAACAACGCACAAAATTAGTTGCGTGCAGACTCTATTCAAAAGAGCGAGAACACACTGCAGTACAACAACACGGAGAAACGAAGAAAATTATTTGGTGTGTCTATTCTAAAGAAGAACGGCTACCTACGAAACTTTATCAGAAGATGCCTGTCCTGTACGGCATCAACTACGAAGCCATCGACAGAAATCAACAGACGCATCACCCTACCTTACATAAAGAATATATCAGAAATCACGATAAGATTACTAAGATCACTTGGAATTGGTGTGGCTCATAAACCAACAGATTCCCTCCAAACACTACTATGCAACAAGCAAAGAAGACAAATCGAACATCATTTATAAACTCAACTGCAATAACTGTAGTCAACACTACATTGGACACAGTGGTCACCCTCTTCACCTTCGTCTACATGAACACCAATCAGCTGTCAAACGCTACGACATTTCATCACTCATTTCAATCCACGTGGATAGCAACTATGGACATGAATTAAATTTTGACATTGTAGAAATCCTGGAGAGAGGAAACACAAAAAAATTATCAGAGAATTCCTAGAAGCTTGGCATTCAGGTCAGTCAGCAATCGATAGGTGTATAGATATAGACCCAACCTATCAACCAATGAGAAGAATGATAAACGGCAGAAAGGCCAGAGGTCAAGCAGTGGAACAGCCAATAGGAGAATCTGCACGGTCAATGACACAACACTCAGAAGAAACAACCAACCACAAAGCAGTTCTTCGGGGGAAGCTTCTAAATCACTCACAGAGAGATACTTCATACTGAAGTTAGTGCTGATGATGTCGTCCAGAAAGACGATGAAAGCTCCACGACGAAACAACTCAGCTCAGAGAACACAATACAACCAAGATCATCCACCTGAGCTACAAATATTCTCCATCATTTCAAAATGTTAAGCTGTTATCTATATACTAGGGAACTGAGATGACTTGGACATGTACTGCGCATGCCGAGCTTTCGCCTACATCGACGTGTCAAGCTAGGAGACGTTGGATTAGGTTATAAAAGGGTTCAAAGTGGTCAGATCAAGACCTGGGACCAGTCCATGAATTCCGTGACTATTGCTCTGAGTTGTGTGAGGAGATGTGGACTGGTTTTTTGGAGTCTCAGAGACGAGAATAATCAATGGTTGAGTACTTTTGGTGAAATGGTTGGATTTCGGTCACAATTGTGCAGAGGTATTCATTCCTTGATATCTAAATCTTAAATATTTGCACTACGCGCTCTCTTCAAATTTTTTATTCTCTCACACTACTTTATCTCTGATATCACTTTGTTTGCTGCTATGAAGTTTGGCAACTTAAGCCGGTGCACCTACATGCGATGTTCTACGTTAATTTAGTCAGCTGCTGACCAGGCCGTAATTTCACTTCATTTACCAAGGGTTTTGTCCAGCTGGCAGGAGAATTTATGGTACGTCACTGTCTTCATTCTAATCACACTGGCTGCCTAGTTAAATCTCTTTCCAATCGAGATCGAACTGAATTAAAGTTATATGTAGCTTGGCAGACGGGTACTTTTAATGCAGTGTGATGATTGAAGGTGAAATGTAGCCATGTTAATTGTTATGGGCTTGCAGAGAATCCATGAAAGAGTATCATATGGTAATATTGATCTTCTTAGTGCATTGTTTGAATTGATAAAAGGGAAAGGCTTTAAAAAGAATTTACACAGTAGTTTCAAAGATATCATGATCATTAGCAACAAGCGGGTTAGTAACGAAACACTTTGAATTGTGAATCAGAAAATAAAAATAATATAATTATTTAGTTATTTGTATTTCCCAATGAGAATGTAAGGCAAAATAAATTTGCCCCAACTAACGTTTCGCTATTAAGTGGCAATACCTTTATCAAAGTTATAGTAAACCAGAATTTACAATATCCAAGCTTATATATACGATAACTTGACAAGTGTTCTTCTGCATAAATGATTGTGCGTTGTCAGAATTATAGAATAAAGACGATGTCTATGTGTGTGTGTGTGTGTGTGTGTGTGTGTGTGTGTGTGTGTGAAATGCAGATTGAGATTTGTATGTACACACGTGTTGATAATATGGTATGGTATGGTAGGCTGGTTATGCCGGTGCGTGGGAGTGGGTTGAGACCAGGTCAAACTACGTTTTACTCCCTCATTCCTGTTTATATAGTTATGATTCCACTCTGTATATGAAAAGATTCTGTTATGAGACGTTCTTTATAATTCCTAAAGCCTTTGTGAATAAGTTCGATATTGTCAAAGTCCCCACCTTATGACCTGAAATTGTAGCATGTAGAGCTATGGCTGATTTGTTTTCAGGGTTTTTCACTTCCATTGGATTTGTGTGGGATCGGGTGGAAGCTCTTCGATGTTCGCTTTTCCTAATTTCGATTTCACTGGAAGTTTGTCCTATGTTTATTGCACCATAATCTGAGCATTTTATTTTATGAAGGCAGTTAAATTATGAATTTCGAGGGATCTCATCCTTCAAATGAACTGAGGTGCTCTGTAGTGTGTTTTGATGTTCTGTAGAACACTCTGAAATAGTATTTGTTGGGGCCCATGATTTTGGAGTAGTTTCACGACGTAATTTAGTGTTATATTCTATTTGGTGGATGAATTTAACCGGATAATTATTCATTTTAAGTACCTTGTTCACATGTTTTAATTCCTTAACTGTTTTATTTTCATCCGTTACTAGAGTGTGTGCTCTCCTTATGAGACAGAAACGTTCGCACTAATTGGATGTGATGAATTGAGATGTAAATATGTGTTTGAATGTGTTGATTTCGTGAAAATGGTTATACCTAGATGTCTGTTTTCTTTCCGCTTATTAAGATAATGAAGGAAAGGTAGTTCCCCCTTCATCCGTTTCCTTTTTTGAACTGAACTTGATATTGGGAGATCTGGAGTTGAGGTGATCTGAGAATGTTTTGTATACGTGACGTTTTAAAATTGCGAATGTGTCATCAACATATCTCATCCAAATGTTTGACTTAATTAAGTGAATGAAGACACTTTCTTCGAGTATACCCATGAATAGGTTGGTTACTGTGAGTGAAACAGGTGAATCCGTCGCAACTCCATCAGTTAGCCTTTATAATTTTCCTTTATATGTGAAGTAATTAGTGTCTAAGTCGAACTTTGGGGCCTTGATGATTTCACTGGTATTGAGTGTGGATCTTTCAGTGAGTGCGAATCTAATGAGGAAGTTGGAAATCGTTGACGATTGTGATTATTTGAATTGGATGACTATGGTGTTTGATCAGTAATTACTGTTCTGAAGTGCAACTGTCATTAACTGTTCCACCGTAATTACATTAGTCTCATATGAAAGACAAGATAAGACTTAACTGTCTAAAATTTATCTGTCAAAATGAAGTTTTCATTCGGTGTTAACATAATATGATATTTCTGAGGTGTCATAGTTTATATTTATCTATCTATCGATTGCAAGTTTTAGGATAGTGTTTTCTAAGTGTGACAGGAAGATGTACACCATTGCTGGTGATAGTCGATCTTCTGCAGCTACACCATCTTCTGGTTTATGTGTAGATGTTGGATGGAAGCTGAACATCTTTAGTGCACACAACCAGAAGATTCCTCAGTTCTGGTTTTGGGTATGGAATATCTTCCGTTTGTTGCAAAATGATATCTGTTGTTTCAAAAAGAGGTATATCCATGAATGAAGAGTTTGTATCGTATATTACCAAGAATTTGCCAAAATCCAGTCATTGAAAGAATGTATGTTGATAACTCTTCTCGATTTACACTATCATTTATTTATTTCAAGCGCAAACGCGGTTCAGAATATTCACCGTGAGATGGGCTATAGCTAATCTTGATTCATGATTTGTATATGGGTTGCATTGCTACCCGCACACCCAGACCGTAGCAAGTGGTTGCTTTTGGGGGACTAATACTCGAGCCTTTGATATGGTATCTGACCTGTAAGACAGTGGGGCAACTTGAGGGGCTGTATTCTTATGATTTGACGGTGACCGATGTGGGTTCATACGCCATTCATTCATTCTGGATCATGGAGCCCATATGCATCACTAGTTCGAAACCAAGTTTTCCAACTTTACTAGGTGAGCTCTCCATATCAGCTAATCCGAATAGAGGCGCTGAAAATTCTCTCACTTTTTGGAAACATCCCTGAAAAGTGAAGTTACTGGTTAGAACTTCCTTGGCAGAGGCTATGAACGTAAGTTGTATGAGGTCATTTTGAAATGGATGATCCGCACCTTCAACTATACCAGAGTTTTCAAGGGAGGGGAACATATTTTTTATGGTGTATATATAAAAGGGATTTTCGTAGAATACTAACTCTAATTAGAAATTAAAATAGTCGAACTGATCAAAGTTTATTGTTAAATTTGACCTTATATACCTGGATGTCTTTCAACTCCGAAAATTTTCACTTTCCATCTTAAGTGTTAACGTAATTCATATATTAGGGGTTGACTGAGCTATGAGTTTAAATCCAGTCAGCCCGAAGGCGATGCTGCAGTGGGTAGAGTCTATTAATGTGAGCACAATGCAAATCTTTTAAGTCGAATAGTTACATACAGAGTGTGTAAAGTCATCTGTCTTCCTAAATCATACACCACTAAGAACGACTATCCTGAAACTTCATGTAGAACATGATAACTAAAATAAAAACATCTGCCTATCAGTATAAATAGTGATACAGTTCCCTTAGACTACTAATTTCTTCGTTAAATAATGTTTGTAGAGTTTAGCTTGTTTCCTATTTTTCTGTTTTTTAATTCTGTTAATTTTTCTGTTACAGACTATGCTTATGGACCAAAATCGTCTTATAGATTTAGGCAATCAATTAACCATAATTGTACATTTAACATCACTTGTCCTTGTTGTCTGTAATTATATGGCTTCGAATGCATCATCATTCACATCACCTGCATCATCATCTCCTACTGCTTCTCTAACATCGACTAAAGCGATATTCTCTGTACCCCTTCGAACCAGTTTACCTCCAGATGCAATGGTTCAATTAAAAAAATCCATTTGTCAAGATATCGCTTCAATATTACAGGGGATTTGTTTAAATTAGTAAGTTTACCTATAAAATGAGGTCTACGTTATCTATATGTAGCTGGAAAAAAGTGACTTGTTTTTTCACTCTTTAGCATATATCTTGAGTAAAGTGTTGGATATATTATTGAATTTCAGCTCAGCTAATAGAGCTCTGAGCCACTAATGTAGATGGCGTTAGCTTGAATCCTACTGTCACCTACGTTTTAGCTTCACTTCCAGTCATCAACGCGTATCAGTCTGCTAAACTTTGTCTGCTGGTGATGTTATATCTCCAAAAGCGAACTTCTTGTACTTAATTTTTAGAAATGTATTATGTGGAATTTTGAATTGCTTTCTTCGCGCCTTTTCTTGTCCCATACACATTACTTAATTTTACCGCGTTTAGGAACACTGTTTTCCTATTGGTTAATCTTCCACTTTTATTTGCTACTTTGTCTATTCACCCCAAGGGCTCATGCCTTGTATATATGAACGCAAAAATTGTGTTCCTTGATTGATACCTTCATTAGAGTAAACTTTCTTCAGTCCATTGTTGTCTCCTTATGTCAGCTGTGTCAATTGTCAAGTATCGTATAGTTCATCGAGTAACTAGATTACGCCTCTCCAGTTAACCGTATTCGAGAATCTCACAGTCACTGATTAGCATTCATGTATCAGTTGTTTTACTAGTGTGAATCGAATAATGCATTGGTCTAGTCCTCTCCGTTTTTCTTCGATTGGATTTTCTGTTGACATAATGATGCATTATATCTTAAACTATATTAGCCGCTCAATGTGCACTTTTGATTTCTACTCTATGTAAATACTTATACACTTTTCATTTACTTTCTAGTAAACCTGATCAATTAGTTGATGATATAATTGAGCAAGTCATATTAACTATTGAGTTATGGTATAATCGATGCATGGAATCAGGTGGCTGTCAGTCATTAATTAGTCTTGATCCTTCTGAATCTGCGTCAACAACAACGACCTCAATGATTGAACAGAAATCATCCATTGCCTATTTTACTGATTTTGGACGTACAGAGTTAACTGTACAGTTATCAGCTGTTATTCTTGGTGAACATCCAGTTTATAAACTCATGCGTAAGTTTGTTCATAGATTCACTTCACTAGTCTTCTATATTTCCTTCTTTTATTATGATAGTGTATAATAGCATTCATTCATTTTTGGTTGTTTTTATATCCTGTTTAATTATCTTTATAAATTATCAAGGTAACACCCCTCATTGTGAAATTTGACAATTCTAGACTGGATCTCTTGTTAAGGTCTGGATGTGTACTGTCGTGAAGTCCACGAAACAATCATTCAGTACTCCTAGATTTTTATTAGATGTTAAATAGTAATGAAAATTACTCTCAAATTAATAAATCTCGATAAACGAACAATTAAAATTACTAAGTTATTGAGTCAAATGATACTGTGAACTACTCTCATAACCAGTTGAGAAATCACATTCAAATTCAATATATATATATAACCATTCTCAGGTGGTTGGTAGGATCATATGATGCTGGAAATGAATCTCTTTTGTAGAGTAGAAAAATATTTTAAATATTTGGATTATTTTCTGCACTTTATAGTTCTTGCCTTGTATAGTTTTTGGTATTAAATAGTACCATTGACTGAAAAAAAAATATTTTTCTTCATTCTGCTTACACTTCCCTTAAAAGTTCTACTTCGTATGAAATTTTGATATGATGATTATCTGAACTTTGAAGTTTGTCCTTAAAAGTTCTGTCACTAGGCCAGGCAACTTCATCAGGATTTACTTCCTCATCTTTATCTATAAGTCTTCCCTAGTATCTCAAATATATGTGGTTAAGATTGAATTTTCGTTTATTATTATTATTATTATTTATTAGTCCCTTGGGTTCCGAATGGAACATAGGGCTTCAGTAGCACGTCTCCAGTGAACTCTATTCTCTGAAATCTTTTGAACCTGGCTCCACGACAGCCCACAAGCTCTCATTTCCTTCTCACATGATCTCCTCCATGTCACCCTCACCTCGGACGCACAACTCGTCGTTTCCCATCTGGGTTCCACTTGAGCATCTGGCCTGACGCGTGATGTTCCCAGTCGGCCTTCTCAGTGTATGCCCAACCCAATCCATCTCTACTTTCTACTTTCTGCATATTTGTTGGGTGATAGGTTCTTGGTTGGTTCGTCACCAGCCAGAGCTCCTTGTTGCTTATTCTTTCTGGCAATCCATCTGATCTTCAGTAGCGAGCGTAAGCAGTTGTTGATGAATATCTGTAGTTTATTCGAAATCCCTTTCGTAACGCGCCAAGTCTCTGAACCATACAGGAGCACTGACTTGACGTTGGTGTTGAAAATCCGGATCTTGTTCCGCATACTGAGTGCAGAAGATCTCCACACTGGTTTCAGGCTAATGAACGCCTGTCTTGCTTTTCCGATTCTGACTTCGACATCCTCGTCTGTGCCGCCACCTGTAGTTGAAACAGTGCTTCTTAGATAGGTGAAGGAGGTTACTTCTTTTAAGTTTCTGCCGTTGATGATGATTGGAGTTTGTTGTTGTTGTTGATTTGGTATCTTCATCACCTCTGTCTTCTCTATATTCACTTGAAGTCCTGTCTTCGCTGCCCTTCCTCTTCTGTCAACTTGTTAGTTTTTGCCTGTAGATCTTCAAGTTTGTGTGACATCAGACACAAGTCATCGGCGAAATCCAAGCCTTCTAGGTTCTTTTCCACAGTCCAGCGTATCCCCCTCTTCTCGCTTCTCACAGTTTGTTGCATGCTCCAGTCGACCACAATCAGGAATATCATGGGGGATAGTAGGCAACCTTGTTTCACTCCTGTCTTCACTTCAAAAGCATTACTGAGCTGAGCTTCCCATTGTGAATTACTTGGCATGTGGTATCTTCATATAGTTTTTGAATGAGGCTGATAAAGGTTTGCGGTATTCCGTAGTATTGAAGCAGTTTTCAAATTACCTCTCGGTCGACGCTGTCAAAGGCCTTCTCAAAGTCGATGGAGTTGAGGTAGAGAGTTGACTGCCATTCGTTTGCCGCCCAGTATTTATGATACTGTCCAGTCAAATCTTAATATGTCTTATAAATATCATAGTTATATTTGGGACAGTGATATTATTGGTTTAATCATTTAGTTTCTAGTAACTAGGTCACAAGCTTTAAAATTTTCACTGTGTAAAGTTTGAGCAATTAAAGATTACTACTAAATATCCGAAAAATTAAAATCTTTTTTTTTCGTAGGGGACTCAAACGAAATTTGAATGATTAAGGTAACGTTATAAGGTTAATACATGGTTTTCTGTGTGTTGTTTATATGTCTAAACAACATGGCTACCGAGAAGTGCACCATGTAAAATAATTTAGAAACACCGTGAAGTAAAAAACGTTAAAAGGTAAAAAACTAAAGTAACAATGAACATAATCAGATTGATATGTTCAGAAAAAGCTTTCACTACATTTGTAGTGAAAGGAAGATGGTAACACGATTACTATTAGTTTCCATTCTGAGTAATATCTGATATTGTCTTAAGTTATTTTATTGCATGATCTCTCGAACCTTATCTAGATAGTCTTGAAGCGCCAACAGGTGCTTACTCAATCCAGCTGTCCTTCATCCTATGGTGCTGGATTATATGTAGACTTACTACGTCTTCGTTTTTTTGAACCAGTCCCAAGGCTAATGAACACTAAAGGGTATGATTGCTGCTGGAATGGTATTTGTATCATATATCATAGATATTGAAACTGGTGTTTCAAGATGACTTCATTGAATGGATAACCATCTACATCAAGCCCAAACACGCCCTACCACATCTAAAAATATATACATGGGAATTGGGTGAACAACTATCAGACAGAGACAGTCTTAGCTTGGAGACAGCAAGTTTCACAAGCTTAAAGCAGAATTGGATACACTGATGTTTCGTACATATAAACTTTCACAGCAGGCTTAATGTTGTAATGGAACCCAGACTTATCCAGATTGGCGTATACGTCTATTGTTTCCGATATACACTTACAAATTTCATCTTTTGTTTTCCTCAAGTATAGCATTATGGTTTGCGTAGAAGAGCATTATGTCGAACTTTTTTTTAGCATACTGATCCATCTAGTTGGTTCTCTTTTTTGTTTTAGATAAACGAGCCATGGATTTTCTACGCTCTGCATTATCATCGTATCCTCCAGAAAATTTACTCTTACCTCCTGGTTTCAGTATTTTGTTAGATCTCGATCAGGATAAACTTAATGCATACAGTACCAGCAGGAATGGTGGCATTTCCTCCAATTCAACTGGTTACTTGCATCAGACTCCATTAAATATTCCAACAACAATAGTATCTGGTGGTGGAAGTGTACACCTTATCTCTCAGCTATCTCCTTCTAGTCCAACCAATCATCGTCTCCGCAGTGAATCTGAAAGTAGTTACAGAACACAAAAAATTGAAATATTAAGTTTATCTGGTTTAGCTAGTCGTTTGCTTCCTTTATTAGCGCATAATCGTCATGTATTCGGTTCGTATTACGCTGAAATAATTCAACCATTAATTATGCCCATCAAACAAAATACTAGTACAAATAACGAATAATTAGTTGATCAGTTAGTTAATCCCACCGTTATTGCATTCAACTTACTCCTTCATCATATACAATCATTATCATTATTATGACGGTCAATATTACTTTCACAATCAACAAAACAGGGATAAACAATCACATTATTATAAAGTTCTCTGGGTGACACATTAAACAATGATGATAATAAACAGCGTAGCAATTAGAAGCAGAAGCAGCAGCAATAATTTATTGTTTAGTATGTATTTATCATCTTAACCTTATCAATCACGTTTTACTGTCTATTTTTGCCTTTTTGTCTACTTCCTTTCTTTCTCATCTTTGTTAACCTTTTTTTTTTTAATTTTAAAAAAAACCTGTTTATAATTATCACACCTAGAAATGTGTTTCCTGTTATCAAAATCATACCATAATCAATAAACTTTGAAAAGCATGTTAACATTTTCTACCATCATGAAAAAGTTTTTTTGCTGTGATGTGTCATTTTTTTTTATCCATTGGAAATTTATCTTCTTTTACACACTTCTCCTAGCATATCACCATTTAATTGTCTTCCTAAATATGCATGTCAATGAAAGATGGAGTCTCTTTAGGTTTTCCTTTTGTTTACCTCTCATCATCATCATCATTAACATCATCTCCTTTTCATCCCCTGTTTATTATGCGTTGTGTAGAGAATGTTTTGATTAGTTGTTTGGTCATATTTGTGTGTATTTGCATGCTCTTGTTCTCTCTTTTCAGTTCTACTCTAATCTACAAAAGCATGTTGGGGAACACTAAAGAGAGAGAGAGAGCGCTGCAAAGGATACTCGATACTAGTATTCTCTATTTTCTTTCTCTATTTTCCTCTTTTTTCTTGTACATAATTATCATTCATGATGTTCATTCAGTTCATTTGAATATTTGCATGCAAATCATTTTGAAATATGTAGATGTCTATGCATGTTTTCAATTTAAACCTTTAGCTGAATGAACCCGTAAAACACTCGTGTACAAGAAAATTAGCACGAGAAAAAAATAAATAAAAACCACTTAATTTAACTTTGAAACTTCAACTGTATAGAATTTAAACACTAGTTGATATACATTGATTAGTAGTGAGCATTTATAATGTAGATTATTGTAGTTTTTTTCCGTCTAGAAACAAGATTGCATCATCAATATCAACATAGGATCAAGCATTACTGCGTAACTGTTCAAGTTGCCGCACTTCGTATCAATATATCAAGTAACAAGGCAATGAAATAGAAGATGAAAAAGGATCGATGAAAAGCAATAAAAAAGAGCAAGGAAGGATGGTAAAATGCTGAATTCAGTATGCCGATTAAGATGAGGATAATGTTTGGATACACCTGCACCACTGACATTGATTCTACAGAGTCCAAACACTGGTTGCTCTTCTCACGCGGATCCTAACTAGCTAGTCTGCATCCCCCTGCATGCCTCAAACCAGCAGTCAAAGACTTCATGCAGTGATGCCATATTTTAGTCTGGCTGCCCCGAAGGTTTTTTCCAGCCTGAAACTACTTCAACTAACATTGCGTGGTGGGCAGACGGTGACTAAGCATACGTCGTAACACATTTCCCAGCTATCTCAGTCAATGTAGGTCCAAGACGGCATCAACTGACTTTCCTCTTCTCTGTAAAACTTTAGGTCTAACTTCTGTGTTACTGACGAGGTGACAGCATGACACAAAGCTTATGCTATGAAGGCAACGGTGGTGGAACACCTGAAGCCTTCTCGTGTACTCCACCTTCAATGGCCGTGTTTCACAGCTATGCAGTAGAACAGGATGGATTGCAACGCATTATACTCGACTCTTAATGGACAGTAGGATATCACAGCAGTGCCATAGATTCCATTGGTTGGCGAAAGCTAATCGAATCTATTGAATCTGTGGAGAGATTTTATCGACCACTGACCAACGCTGGTCCGACTTCCCAAATAAGTGAAGCGTTCAACGGACTCAGTCACTTCTGTAACTAGATATACAACTACGTAAATTACTTTTCACGAGAATGTTATATTACCTAAATCAAGGGTTGTAAGGTTTTCTATTTGAAAGAAAGGCTTTCATAATGTCTACTGCAAAATCTTGATATCTGTTAGTGAAATGATAGTAGAATTCTCGCTGCAAATGTTTTAATGTTACACTAGGTGTTTTCACTCATTCACCCTATGATTTTAGTTAATATCTTGCCGACTTGAATCATAGGCTGAAGAATTTGTAAATGATTTGCAAGTTGCACAGTTCACGTGGACATTTCTTACAACTGATTAGTGTGATGTTAACAAAGTTCCCGTTGGAAACAACCCAGCCAATATCACAAAGCATAATCTCTGACAAAAGTATCAAATATTATCGAATTGTACTAATGAACAAAATGAGTAGTTAGAAATCACTCACATTGGTCTGTAGATTTCACGAAACACCTATCGCTTTGGTGTTTAAATCATTCAGGTCTGGCCAGTAAAATCTACAAATCAGCGTGAGTAATTTCTAACTACTCATTTAATTCATTAGTATATTTCGCTAAACTTGAATGTTAGTTAAAAGTGTTCATAAATAGTCGAAAGAAGACAGCTTTAATGCCTCCCAATACGCAAGTCAAATAGTATAGTGCAATTGTTATTCATTTCAGCTAGTGTTGGAAAATACAATTATTTCTGAGAAAATTTACTCCCTGATAAGTCGTATTATTTGATTGTTGGATGGTTCAGTCGTTTATCCAACCGCGTTCTTAGTCTAATGAATCAGTTTAACTATTATTCCAGTGATTGTAGTAACTGCTTTTAAAATATGAGTGTTTTATGCACCATGTATTCTCCATTTTATTATTGTTCATCTCCTAAGCGAGTAGTCAACTCCATTGTAATCAACTTAAGTAGTAGTAACATTTAATTCCAGTTTAGATTAGTGTAATTAATATAACATGTAGTGATGTAGTGTTATTTACAAGATGATGTTTTGTGCAGAATTTATTGCTCATAATCATAATCAAGGTATGATATGAATACTTGGGTCATAGACTTTATCCAATCTCCATAAACTTGAGCAACCCTGCCTAGTTACATTCCAAATTCTAATTGCAACATTCCATACAGCAAAATACTTATAAATGGTTATTAGAATCTCTGTTCTCTTGTATTTCAGATGTTGCAAGGAGGTGTAACCAAACCACATTAAAAAAAAGTCAACAATCCTTATTTAGATTTCAACCTCGCCTAGTTACTAGCCTGTCTTAAGCCCGGATAAAGAGGAAAGGTTGAGCATAGAGCCAGCAACCCTATCCCGTAAAACCAACCCAATCACTAAAGAAACCTCAAAGCACAAAGAAAATATAAAAAATAAACCTATTCCTTGCTGGAATCGGAGAGACGAAATGACACCAGATGGTGAAAGCCTTCGGGAAGCCAGTCGGGCGATGTGTCTTACCTCCCTCGATGAAAGTGAAAGTCAGATTGGTGATATGGAATGTTCGCACCATGTTTGAAGCTGGCTGGCAAGGCTGCCCAGATTGCCAAAGAGATGAGAAGGTATAGCATAGAAGTGCTAGGAATCTGTGAGGGCAGATGGAATGGAAGTGAACTGTCAACTAGAGAGGAGTCAATGATGTAATCTACTCCGAAATTGTCACCCAGACGACAACCACGAGCATAGCAAGATTCAACTCAAAAGGAAGGAAAGTCACAGTCATACAATGCTACTCTACACCATGCACCTACAAATAATGCAGACCAAGAGAAGAAGGAGGAATTCTACTGACAAATTCAACCAGTTATGGACAAGATTCAACCCCAGTTGGCGACATCGAAATTCATTCTAATGGGTGACGTGAAATGAATGCCAAACTGCGAGCGGACAACACAGAAAGAGAACTCATCGTGGGTCAAGAAGCAGTCGGTGAAAAGATGAATAAGAATGGAGAACTGTTTGCAGACTTTGGAGCATTCAACAATTTGGTGATTGGAGTCAGGCAGTGTGTACAAACACAAGGCAGCGACATGGATTTGATTTCACTAGATGGACATGCTAAAAATTTGACCGACTTCATTTCAATGTGAAGAAAGTGGAGATACAATCTACTGGACACAAGGTCAAGAAGGGGGCAGATGTAATTAATTCAGACCAGTCACTATCTAATACAAGGAATCTACCTTCAAAATCAAGTTGAAAGCCTTCAGAGAAGTTGGTGATAGGCAACACTTGAAGTTGAACACCCAGAACATAAACTGGACTGAAGGACGAAACTACAAACGACACCTTCACGTCAGTCAACCATCAGAACAAAATGGGAAACATTGAGCAACATCCCTGAATGATCGGGCGTGGAAGAACACTGGAACTCTTTGAAAGAGATATGGAAGGAAACCTGCATAACCGTATCAGGAAGGAAGAAGACATGACAAGGAATAGATCTCGACGGACACATGGAAGCTGATAGAGAGGAGGATGGTGAAGTAGAAGATGAACCAGTTCGAGGAAGAACAACGACAAGAGGAAGTGAGTACAACCTATAAAACACTTCACTGAACAAAGAAGTGAAGAAGACAAAGGATATTTCTGCAACACACTTGCAAGTGAAGTAGAGCAGGCTGCAGGTAGGAGAGACAGAAACCTGACAATACTATATCAAATAACCAGGTTACTGTCCAGGAGGGGAGAGATCAAAGCACATGAAACCAATGAAAGATAGTGAAGGAATCTCAGTCACCAAAGAAGAGGAACGAAGGAAACGATGAACTGACCACTTCAAAAAGCTCTTGAATCGACCACCACCTGCAACTCGTCCAGAAATATCGCCAACAGCCCAGTCACAGAATTACCAGTGAACACAAGCCCTCTGACAAAGCAGGAGTTCTGAAACCCATAAAGTTGTTGAAATCCAGGAAAGCAGCAGGATCACATGGAATGCCACCAGAAGCACTGAGAGCAAATGCAGAGTCAACAGCGGACATGTTGACACCACTATCGCAGAATGTTTGGAAGGAAAGGTCCCTGCCTGCCCATGGACTCGAAGAAGGACTACCTTGTCAAACTTCCGAACGAGGGAGACCGAAGTCTTTGCAAGAACTGACACAGAATCATGCTCCATCCATGTCCCCACCCAAAGCAAGCAAAATATTAGGCTGCATCCTCTGGAGATACTAAAATGTGCTCTGAATTCAAGATTACGACCGGAACAGGCTGACTGACTGGCTGGATTCAGGAAGAACAAAACATAGGAGGATCAAATCGCAGCACTACACTACGCATCATCATAGAAAAGAGGATACAATGACAATCAACTGGATCTTTACCTCAACTTCATCGATTTTGAAAAGGCCTGCGATAGCGTCGACCGAGATGTAATTTAGAAACTGCTTCAACAGTACTGTTTCAGTGCCACAAACCGTTATCAACCTCATTCAACAGCAGGTATATGCTATATGATGATGATGCTACATGTCAAGTGATTCACAATGGAAAGCTCAGTGACGTCTTTGAAGTGAAGATAGGAGTAAGACAAAGTTGCTGCCTACTATCACCAATGATCTTTCTGATTGTGGTCGACTGGATCATGCAAGAAATTGTGAGGAGTTGTGAGAAGAGGGGCATACGCTGGCTGGATCGATGAAAGAACCCTAGAAGATTTGGATTTCGCCGATGACTTGTGTCTAATGTCACACAATCTGGAAGATCTACAGGCAAAAACCAACAAGTCAGAAGACGGGACCTCAAGTGAACGTAGAGAAGACAGAGGTGAGGAAGATACCTAATCAACAATATGCACCGATCATCATAAATGGGAGAAACCTAAAGGAAGTAGTCTGTTCACCTACCTAGGCAAGGCAGCATCTTTTAACTACAGGCCGTGGCACAGATGATGTCAAAGCCAGGTTTGGAAAGACAGCAAGAAGGCCTTCATTAGCCTGAAATCAGTGTGGAGATTTACTTCAATCAGCATAAAACGTGAACAAGATCCGGATTTTCAACACTAATGTCAAGTCAGTGTTTCTATATGGTTGAGAAACTTGGCGCGTTACGAAAGCATTT